TTTTTTGGGTGGGGGGGAGGGAGTGGGTTCTCTTTTAATAGGTCAAAGATCTTCGAGTGTGTGTGTGTGACTAGACTTTATGACAAATAGTTCCCTTTGCATAAAGTCTCTAAAATTTACATTTATCTGGAGAAAATTGGTCGAAAATGGAAGAACTTTGAGCTCTTAGCAGGAGATAAATAGAAAATTCTGCAAGGTTTGTAGTACATTTCCCTCTCAGCCCTTCCCTCTCCCCAGATATTCTCTTTTAATAAGCCTGCCTGGCTCACACAAGGTAAAAACCATCTTTTTTTAAAGAAATCTCTGTAAAATGGTACTGTATCTGAAAGATGTTAGCTTTTGAACTAGTTGGTGTATTTGTTATTAGCACTAGTATTCTTAATCTCCAAGTCTACAGTGTGATGAAAATGTCAGATGCTATCATCTTTTTACATAAAAACAAAAAAAAAATCCAAAAAAATTCTCATGTACTGTGGATTGCTAACATGCTTTTTTTTAAATCTTGGTAGAGGCGTAGGCACCTGTTCAGGAAGGTCTTGAAGCATGAATTTAACTTTTAAGCACACGAGCAATAGAAGTGGTTGCATTTCTTGGTTCTCCACTCAAAAGCTTCACTTTTCCTGGGGATTCATTTGGAAGAAGGGAGCAAGGGACTCACTCAAGTTTCTTGGGAATGTTATTTTTACCATGAAATAGATAATTCCCAGGAAATGGGATGCTCTCTGTGAAAGTTGTCATGGAATTGACAGGAGTTTTTTTGGCTGGAAGTTGTCAGCTGGAGCCTGGAGTGATCCCTGCGGTGACCAGGACAAGTCATGTGCCCATTGCTGGGCACATCTTGGGCAATTCCTCCATGACAAACACCTCAGACTGGGCTTAAAATAAAGCAGCACTTGAGCTCCAGCTGAGGCTGAGCTGGCAGGGGAAGTGGAGAGGGATTTTGTGTGTGTTTGGGCTTTTTGCTTTTGAGTTTGCTTTGGTTTTCTCCCTTCTCCTCATCATTCTGGTAGTGAGCTCCTAGAAAGGGGGGATGCTCCTCCTGTGTCAGGCAGGGTTCAATCCAGGCACTGAAATGTTTTAGCTCAATGAAAAGAAGAAAGAGGGGAGGGAGAAGAAAAAAAAAAAAAAAAAAAAGGCAAATTTTTTTAAAGCTTGCTATTTTTTTCAGTCCAGCCTAACGTTTTGACCTGCACTGCTGCAATGCACCCTGGTTTCAGTGTCCCTAATTTCATGTATATACCATGACTTTATTTATTAAACACCGTTGGTCGTTTAAAATGTAATAAAACCTAACAAAAGCAAAGCTGGGGTTTTGCAGTCCAGCAGACAGGAAGATTTTTAACGAGATTTGAACCAGATTTAAAAAACAAACGAACAACAACAAAGCAAATAAAAATCCACAACTTTATTTATATACCTTGGACTTTTCTACCTACAGGTGCTACAGTCCAGTCTCTCGTGTGTCTGGTGCTCTGTCATGTTTGGTGTGTTCACTTTTAGCATTTTTTCCTCCTCTTTTCACCCCAGACCCCTTTTTTCCTGTTTTGTACAGATTTTGGAGACATATACTTCAATACAATTTTATTTTCTCAGTGGTCTTTTTTCCTCCCCTCTTTTTTTGTTTTGGTAGAACAATGGGGGTTTTATCCTTTTCTAATCCAATTTTAGGAAAACATCAGTTCTGTAATTATATCAAATTTGTAATCTGAGGGGCAGAAGTTGTATTGTAAATTCTTTTTATTGTAAAGAAAAAAAAATACACAGAATTTAACAGAAAGTTCTGCCTTTCCATCTCCAGCACCAGCCCCTAAAACTGCCTCTCCCCTGTGGGGTAGCCCTAAAATTCACCTTCTGTGCTCTCCCAGAAGCACAGAATCATGATTTTTCTTTTCCATTAACAATGGAGTTCCGCTTTTAATTCATTATTTTTCTTTTCCGTTAACAATGGAGTTCAGTTCTGATATTATTTTTTTTAAGTTCTGCCCTTACAAAACCTTCCCCTAGACAGATCCCTGGTAATATATTTTCAGAATTTACTATGAGGAAATGTAATATTCACCTAATTAAGAGCTTGGGTTTCTTTTTAACGGGCTTGGGTTTCACCTGTGTTTCTCCTGTTGCCTGCGACTTGAATGACCAAAACCAAGGAATATTTTAAAGAATAATTGCAACCAATTCACTGCCACGGCTTTTGAATAAACAAACTCCCAGTTTTCCCTTCCTGGGACCTTTTCCTGCATGCTTGACCCTGAGCTGTGGTGGTGGCTGCTGTGGGGAGGACAAACCGGAGGCGACAGCATCACTGCCACAAAAAATCCTGGGAATTTCAGCTCTGGCACCGTCCTCTGACATCAGGAACAGCCCCTGGAACACACAGACATCCCTCAAGGAGCCACGGGGCTGCCCCACCTAAATTAGTTGGGAAAGCTGGAGCCAGAGGTTGAGAGCCAGGTGTGAGGTGATGGGAAAAGCGTGGCCTGAGGCTGGCTCAGCGCTGGAGGAGGATCCCTGCTGGAGCTGGAAAAACATCCCAGCCTGGGGGTTTTCCAGGAAAACAAGCTGCCAAGGCCACCACAGAATGAAAAGAATCTGCTGCACATCTTTGATTCACCAGCTGCAACTTGGGCTTCCACTTGGGAAACTCTGCATGGAAAGTGAGGTGTTCCCAACAAAATGGAGCAAGGAGAAATCCATTTTGGCATGACTGAGGGAGGAATTTGGTGACTCCTCCCTTCCAAATGCTGTCCTTACACTTTTCCATTCCCAGCTTGTTTGTAGTGCTCTTTATCCCCACCATGTCCATGGGGGTGCCTCTTGTACATCCTGAGTTTCTCCAGGAAAGAAAAGATGTTTCCAGTCCAGAGTAAGTAACAGCAGTCCTAAATGAGTTGGGAACTGAAGCAACAGAGCATTTATTTAACTGGCTTTTATTGCATGACACGTCAGTCCAGATGTCACAAAATAACTTGGAAACGATCAAACACACAACGTTTGAAGGACATTTTTAAACTTAAGAATTAAAAAAAAAAAAAAAAAAAAAAATTAAAATTTTTATGGTAGAATTTTTCTTGAATGAACAAAGTTTAACTTTGTTTTCCAGGGGAAACTTCACTGAAATCAGTATGATTTCATATGTATGCATACACACAGAGTTTTATTGAAACTGCTTTTTTCGGACTAATTCCTGTTTTGACAAAATATCTGACCAGACCTTTCTCAATCAACCAGCATTACTGCACCTTTCTAAAAACTTTGTGAACCTTTTCTCTGATTGTAAACTCAGCCTGTCTCGTGGCTCAGTGGGACCAGAGGGAGATTCCCCATCCCAGCGACCGAAGGAGTCTCTCAGCTCTCTGCACACCAAATGTGTCACCTACACAACAAAAAAAAAAACAACAAAATCATTTTAATTTTTGTACTGGTGTGGTTTGCACCTTGCCTACCCCCAGGGTTTGTAAGTGTGGGAGTGATGTTTCAGGGCTGTGTCACTGCTGGCAGGGTGGTGACCCCCAAACACACACAAACGTCATTTCTGTGAGCTGAGTTCCCCCTGAGCTCTCTTCCCCCTTCTCTGTGTTAGAAGCAGACTGCAGTTACCTAACCTAGTTCTTTCTCTGCTTTGGGGACTTTTAGAGCAGTTTTTAATTTTTTTTTTCCTTGTTTTGGAAGGAATGATGTTTTTTTAAAGCTGGGGTTGGAGCTGAGGGGAAGGGATCGGGGCATGACAAAGACAAACCACAACCATTTTAGTACTGGATTTTAAATTCTCAGTCTCTTTTCAACCCTGAGAGTTACCACTAGGGCTAACTGTGGGCAGGCTCTGCATCAGTAAAGAGAAATTTAGGATTCCCTACACAGCAGCGTTGTCTTGCTTGAGCTGCATTTTGTAAAGAAAATGGTATTTGCATATCTTTTTAAAATGTCATTTTTAAAAAAGAAATTAAACCACCAGCTAGGATTTGACACAGGCCGCTTAGAACACAGCCCTGATACTGGCATAACCAATCCAGAAAGATTTGTTGTTGTATTTTTTGTTTTGTTATTTTGGGGTTTTTTTAATATTTAAAAGAAAAAAGAAATTGTTACTTTTCTGTATGATGTGCATGCAAATTTACCGTAACTCTTTTTCTTAAAACTTTTTAGTGCCATTTCTAGTATATTCCTGTAAATGTCAGTTATTGAAAAGAAATGAGTCAATGTAAGTAGTTTAGCTTGTTTATTGCAAATTGCTGGCCTCAAACAAAACAGAATTAAAAAAAAAAAGAGTTAGAAAGTAATCTTTGATGTTACTGGTAATCACGGACCCTGGTCCTGGGGCATTCGTTTCGTTTTCATAATAAAAAGAAAAATTGTTTGGTGTGTGCAGTTTGATCCCATATTTTCCCCTCTCCTCATCTTTTCCAGGTGTGGCACTCAAACGTGGACTGGGCAGTGCCAGGAGCCAAACATCAGGGGTTTGAATCCTGGTGCCACGAGTCCTGGAATAATCTGGAAGTTATTTTAGGGAATGTCACACTCAAAGGGCTGATGCGCTCAGAGTGGGGCAGCTCTGGGGTGTCTGAATCACAGCTGAGTACCTGAAATAAAACTGCTTTAAATCCCTTTTTTTTGGTGAGGGAAACAGCTGTTTCCATGTCCCAGTGCAGGCAAGGAAGGGCTTGAACTCTTCCCAGCATCCTGTAGTCTGCAGGGTCTTAAATTCTGTGGGAATTGCTCCCGATTGAGGTAAGTTGGGCTGAAAAGAGATGAGCCTTCACCCAGGTTTGCTGCTGGCTTCTTGGAAGGCACCAGGAGCTGCAGGAAGCAGAGGGACTTTGTCACCTGCTGTGGGCTCAGGGTGACCTGGAGGGCACAGCTTGGAAAGGGGGGCCTGGAGCAGCTGGTGCCAGTGCCAGCAGAGTCCTGGCATTGCTGTGTGGGTGCCAGGATCTATTTTGGTCATCAGAGAGGACTGGGGTTGGTTTTGCTGTTTGCTCTTTGTGTGAGGTGGGGTTAGCACAGCCAGGCTGCCCCAGGGTTAATCTTTCTCTAACCCTGTTCCTGCTCACTGCCCCTCCAAGGCTCCAGCAAAGCTGTTCCACTCTGCTCTGGTGCCAGTGCCACTCCCGTGGGCTCTTTGTCCAAGCTGTCCCCTAAAGAGTCTCCTGTGAGGGAGGTGAGGATGTTTCTGTGGCATTTGCAGGTGAGTTACTTCTGGGGGCAGAGAGCAGAGCTGGTTCTTCAGGCTGGGAGGAGGTTGAGGACACGCAGGACACGATTGAAGTTCAACTCTCACTGCTCATGCCTTGAATGCTGGGGCTGCCAGAGGGACATTGAGGGGCTGGAATGAGTCCAGAGAAGGGAACAGAGCTGGGGAAGGCTCTGGAAAGTCTGTCCTGTGAGGAGCAGCTGAGAGGGCTCAGCCTGGAGGAAAAGGAGGCTCAGGGAAGATCTCCTTGCTCTCTCCAGCTGCCCAAACCAGGGTTGTGAGGTGGGCTTTGGTCACTGCCAGGTAACTCCTATCAGGACAAGAGGGAACAGCCTCAAGCTGCATCAGGGGAGGCTCAGGTTGGAGAGCAGGAGCAATTCCTTCGAGGAAAGGGTGCTCAGGCTTGGCAGGGGCTGCCCAGGGAGGTTTGGAGTCCCCATCCCTGGAGGTGCCCAGGGAAGGCCCAGATGTGGCACTCCGGGCTGGTGACAAAGTGGGGATCAGGCACAGGCTGGATGTGACAATCTCTGAGGTCTTTTCCATAATAATTCCCTCATTCAGTGTGACAGCCAGAGCTTTCCTTATCCTGAAAGTGCTGCTGGCCTTGGGGAGCTGGAGGAGCCTCCCCTGCAGCTCCCAGTGCAGTGGTGTGGGTTTGGAGCCCCACCAGGAACTGAGGGGATTCCTCCCTCCCAAAAGGGGAGTGCCAAAAGCTGTCACCTGTGCCAGAGCCGTGGCCATGCAGGGGAAAAACAGCCACTCACCGAGCTGCATTCAAATCATTTTAATGCACTTCATCAAAGAGGCTACAACAGTGTTTGAAACAAGAGCATCACCACCACACAACTGGCTCACAGAAGAGCCACAGCAACCCTGCTGTGACCAGTGACACACAGAAATGGAAAACTACAGTCACATTCACAGAGATGGAAGGACAACTCATCCTCTTCTTCCTGCACTGTCACATCCAGCATCCATCCTGGAAGAATTTATGCACATTCTTACGGGTTTAGTCTTGTATAGTCCAATTAAGACTCTGCAAAATAACTGAATTTTGGTTTACCAGCCACGTTAACAAAAAGAGACTGATTATACCCAAAATAAGCATCTTCCTTACTGAAATTAAAAAGAAAATAAGTGTTGGATTTCTTTTTCTATAAGAAAAGAAAACGAACAGCTGCTTTGGGGGATGTGCTGTTCCTTAAACTCCCAGAGTTCACGTGCTCCCCAGGGCTGGCCTGGAACCCACCTCTCCTGCTTCTCCAGGTGAATCCACCTGCAGATCCCAGGGGAGCTCTGGGCCCAGCCCCCTGCCTGTTTGAGTAAATAATCTCCTGTTCACTCAGCCAAGAGCTGGAGGCCCAGGTGGGTCACACATCCCTGGCACTGCTCCCCCGGCACCTTGCCGAGCCTCGCTGGCTTTGTGAATCTCATTGAACGCTTGCACTCGCTTCAAAAACATTTATTCACTGAATAGTTTCTCCTCCAGAGCTAGTCCTGACAAAAGCAAGAGGGTTATTTGTGTGCAGAGCAATGCACAGGTCTGCAAAGCAGCGAGGTGCAAATCTACGAGCGCGCACACACACACAAGGTATCAAACACCAACACATGCAGAAATAGTGCTTTTAAAAAAAACAACGAGCTGCCTGTTGTTTGCAGTGCTATGGAGCAGGGCTGAGTACACCAAACCTCTATGATTTCACTCTAGAACAGGTGTGTTCTGCTCAGTACATCGAGTTCAGCAAGGTCGAGTGTCGGTGTGTTTGTTGTAGCATTTCACCCACACGGGAGAGGTGGAAGAGATTCTTCATTGTATTAAAAAAAAATAAATAAAATAAAGTGCTTGAAAAAAATGCAAAGGAGGTTTTAGATAAATAGAACAGAAGTAATGACTGTGCCTAATAATAGGCAGGTAAATAATCCATCCTGAAGCTGACATCAAATGCTGATTTGCCTGGAGCTAAGCCTGTGCCCAGGCACTGCTGGGTTGCCCACATGGCCTAGGCAGGACAGAAAGGGAAAAACCCTGAAGAATTTTCATGCTGAACCCTGGGTACGTAATTCACAGCCCTGGAAGTGGGAGTTCTGTTTTTAACAAAGATTCAGGTGCTTGCTGGGCTGAGTTTCTCAGGGTGATCTTGCCTTGAACAAGTCAGGATTCAGCAGAAACTTAAACCTGAAAGCAGCAGCCTCTGTGCCCAAGCAGGGCAGTGCTTCTCCCTCCTAAAATCCTCCAGTTAATCATAACAATCCTAGACACAACTTCTAAAATACATGCACCAAACCTACAATCCAACCTGAACTAGAAGTTAAACCCTTCCAAGCTACTGCATGCATTAAAACTTGAATGCAAAGCAAACTCCAGTGGCCTCTTTCCTTCTGTAGCCCATCTCAGGAGTGGCTCTGTGCTCTGCAGGAGTTTCCTCGTGTCCCTTAGGACATGTGTGCATTTACAGGGTTTTTTTTTACTGTTGCTTTCCTGGGCCTGTCCCTCCCTTTCAGGTGGTTCACTGGGGGATCTGCCCGAAAGGAGTCAGCTCCCCTGACTCCAGAGCTCCTGTTGTTTCCATGATCCCACCCTGTGGGATCAGAGAGGGCCCTTGGCTTTGCATGGAACTCCAGCACACCTTTCCTACCAGGTGTTTTGAAGGCTTGGATTAAATTCTCAACACATTCTCCCCCTGTTCCCACAGTAAATCACTCCATTCTCTGGCTGGAAGAGACCACTTCAGGATAGGAATTAAATACAGACAGGGCAAACTGAACAAGTAATGGCCAGATGGTTTTGGAGATCAACTTCTTAAAACCACAGCCCTGATGGGAACAGATCTGTGCTCGCCTCTGTCCCACCAGCATTCCCAGAGCTCTGGAAATGCACCAGGACTGGCCAGTAAGGGTGGCTGGGGACGGTGCCCAAGTGCCAGCGGGTGTTTCTCAGGGCACACGAGCCACTTAGAAGCAACACATGGTCCAGCACGGCCCCTGCCAAGATGCTGGGCAGCAACAGGCTTGAGATCTCCCCAGCCAGGCTGGGTTTGCTGCACACACTCAGTGACATGCAGAATGGGAGTCTATAAACAGCAAAACCAAACAGAAACAATCAAACTTCAGCCTTCCTGCAACGCTGCTTCCTGTGCAGGGCTGTGAGAGGCTGCTGCACACCCACCTCCCCCAGCTCTGCTTCCTCTCCACGTGTGGATTCCTGCGGGGAATTACATAATAGCACAAAACTTGGACTGCCCCGTGTCCCTGGAGACATCCAGCTTGTTTTTGTCCCGCACCAGGATGGCTTCGTTGCCGTACTGCGAGTACCACATGCTCCTGCTGCGGCTCAGGTAGGTGTTGGGGGGAGCTGACTCCAGTTTCTGCTGCTGCTGCTGCCAGATGAGCAGGGACGTGTCCCTGTACCTCAGGCGGGCGTAGCCCTCGGACAAGGCTTTCTCGGGCAGGGGCACCCTCCCGTTCATCACCGGCTCACTCATCTGCCCCAGCACAGCTCCACCAGCGGGAGCTCCTTCCCAACAGCTCCGAAATAATCCCCAGTGGCTCTGTCCAGGCCGATGGCTGCTGCTCGGAGCTCAAGGGAGAACATCCCAGGGCACGGCGCTCGGGATCCACGAGCTGCTGGCGCTGCTCAGGAGAGGGAGCAGGGCCCTAAAATCACAGCCTGGCCTTGCTTAAAAACCACAGCAGGACTTGTGAGAGCTCACCCAGCCGTGCTACTGCTGCGTGCTCCATGCTGGGAAGGGCCCACACGTGCTGTTTGTTGACACTCCATGAAGCATCTCCATAGGAGCAGCCAGGCAGGACAGGCCGAGCGGGCCGGGATGAGCTGAATTCCCTGGAGAACGGATCCCGAAGGCGTCAAGAGGTCAGAGCCTGGAGGTCAGCGGTGCCCAGGCCTGTGCACGGCCTCTCCCGGCGGATGGACGGCAGCCCGCCACGTCACGCGCTCAGGGATGCAGGAGAAGATGCTCGGCCCCGCTTGTGGTACCCAAGCTGGGGTAGGGGGAGCCCGGCACCTCCGGACGGCACCTGCGGGGCACAGCAGGGTCACCCCACGGGCCGACACGGGGGGTCCCCGCCCTGCCATCCTCTCTTCCCGTGCCCCCCATGTCCCGGCCGCCCCCAGCCCCTTCCAGCGGCCCCGCGGGTGTCCCGCACCGCCCGGCCCTGCCCGCCCCGAGCCGGGGGTCCCGCACCG